TACATTAATTTTAATGTAAAAGGGTTTTCTACATATAAGATCATGTTATCTGTGAAGAGAGACAGTTTTACTTCTTCTCCAATTTACCATGTTTGATTATTTAAGTGTTTCCAATCACTTTATTATTCACCATGTTTGATTTTTATCGGCAGCATCGACAACCATCTGATGTACCATAAATTTACTTGTTCATTATTTTATTGTCTGCTCCCTCCCAGACTATAAGCTCCATAAAAACAGGTATGTTTTGCCTGCTTTGTTCACTGCCTCTTGAACAATGCCTGGCTCATCATAGGTGTTCAATAAATGGTTGTAAAATGAATGAATCGCCTCACCTGGCACGTAGAAGGGACTTAGCAAATTATAGCAAGTAATAATTATTGTTATTTTTAACCTAATATTTCACTGTAAGAATAATAACTAAGCCTCAAAATAAGAAGTTTTCATTAAACCAAATTGTTTACAGTGCAGTAAATAAAGAACACCAGGATTCCGGCTACCCTAGAGTCCGTCCCTGCATGGATCCCAACTCACTCCCTGGCATGCTCTTTCAAGTATTTCCTGTGGCCATCAGCTGCCAATCTACACAGAGGAACTTCTGTAAACAGGCCACTCAGTCCTGTCATCTCTGCTCAAATCCTCCACGGCATCCCTTATGGCCAGGGCTGGTCTGGCCAGACTGCTGGCCAAGTGGCCAGGGTCCAAGTCCATAGAGCTGGAGCCGGGACAGGGACTCCTGCCAAAGGCAGCACACAAGACTGAGAGCCAGGGGCAGCCTGTCACAACCCACTAGGAAAAGCCTGGGTTCCAGTACAAACAGAAGCCAGAGGGCCAAGGGCAGAGCCAAGGCTAGGGTGTTAAAGCCAAGAGCTCAAAGTAGGTCAGGAACCAGTACTGGGATGGGGCGGGGGAGGTGTACTTGGTCATGGTCTGCAGGACCAATCAGGGCTGGCACTGGTTTGTGTGGGCAGCAGAGCAGGCCTGGGTGAGATGGGCTGGTGTAAAGGGCTAGTGGCAGAGGAGACATCCTCACCTTCTTGGCATATTCTCTACTGAGCTCCTTCTCCACAACACACCCGTGGCTTCCATGTATCTTCCTGGGAAAGGCTGCTCCTTTTTTTAGGCGTTAATTAGGAATGCAACCATTCTCCCCATTCCCAAATGCCTTCTAAGGTGAGCTGACCTCAGAATCTTATTCCATTTTAGATATGATCACCCACCTGGTATTTCTTTAAATACAAAAACAAAAACCATCCCAAACTGAGACTAAATTCTAACTGAAATAATAATTATAGTATAATAAATATAATATAAATGGAAAGCCATAGTATAATAAATATAAATATAAGTCTCCTGCCAGTTCCCTTTCAAGCTGATCTGAGAGTGGACTTTCTGAGAAAACAGTGGATGATTTAGATCAGTGGTTCTCAAATTTTATGGTCTCTGGACCTGCTTACATTCTTGAAAATTATCAGAGATTCCAAAGAGCTTTTGTTAATTTACCACACTAGAAATTAAAACTGAGAATTTTTTAAATTTTATGTTAAAAATAACAATACTATACCGATTACATGTAAATAACATAATTCTTATGGAAAATAACCATAATTTCCAACCCCCCAAAAAAATCAGTGAGAAGAATGACATTGTTTTACATTTTACAAATTATTGTAGCATTTGGCTTAATGAAAGACAGCTAGACTCTCACATCTGCTTCCGCACTCCATCTGTTACCATATGTTATTTTGGTTGAAGTTTATGATGAAAATCTGGTGTCATGCACACATAGTTGGATACCTACTTTTCAGGTAGTACCTGAATGGGTCTTGGGTACCCCCAGGGATCGTCAGACCATACCTTGAGAACCACTAGTTTAGATAATAATGATGCTGCCATGCCCAGCACTGCTGTGGATCATGGGGATGAGGACAAGCAGAATTCAGAGTGAGAGAGAAGATGATGGGGGGGGGGTGAGGGTCAGTCATAGAATGGGTGCTTCATTATTCAAATATCTGCCCCCACTCCTCAGTCCTGTTGGCCAGGAACAGCCTGATCCCAAATGTCTTCCTCCTGGGGAAAGCAAATGTTGGGATGGAGCATTCCTATAAGTCAGCCCAGAACCATGATTGCCAGAGACCAAATGCTGAATGGGAACAATTCAGGGTAGACAGTACAGGATACCAGCAAAGAAGGATAGTGGAGAGCAGTATTCAAGCCAAGACAGGACACACACTGGATCACCTGGGAAATTTAAATGCTGATTTGATTGGCCTGAGCCAAAGCCCAATAGCAGGAGTTTGGAAAATTCTCCAGGGAATTCCAGTGTGCAGCCAAGGGCAAGAACCACCAGATTGAAGCGGACTCAGCAGGACCAGCTGGGTTTAAATCTGTGTTCCACTAGTTATATATACAATTTACTAGCTGTATAGCCCCGGGCCAATTACTGGTCTTCAATTTACCCATCTGTAAATGGGAATACCATTCTGGATGTTGTGGATATTAAATGAGATCATCCATTAGCGCTGTGACTGGCCTAAGATAGGTACTCTGTAAGTCTGAGCTGTTATCATTGGTTATGGTGATTTGGGTGCAGGGGATCAGCCTCTGTCAGCTCCAGTCTCAGCGCTGCCATAGAGTAGATCTCCCACCTGGGTCCTCTGTCTCCCCATCTCTGGAAATACAGGGAGTCAGTGACTTCCCCCACCCCCCTGCAGGATTTCCGCAAGGGAAGGAGAGGACAGTTGGCTGAAGGGCACAAATGTGATATCACTGGAAACAGGTGCAGAAAAAGTCCGTGAGATGCAATGATGTTATTCACACTGTGTGTGTGCACACACACGTGTGTATACTCTATAGTCAGACTCAGATATTTTTTCCTTTTGAAATTGTTAGAACATCTCAAATCTATTGCAGATGGCAGAGTGGAACTATTTTAATGGCTTATTCTTGGCCCGTGGACTGTCCATAGAGACCTGGAACGAATGAGGCTCACTCCTCATTTATCCTCGAGAACATCATCATTACACATTACACAGAGCGTTCTGCCTTGGAGTTCATTGGATCATCCACAAAAGCTAACAGCAACACGAAATGGGGGCCAGGGAAGGATGGAAAGACCTGGAACGCTCTCTGAGCAGGCAGTACAGCCATGACTCAATATTTTTATTAAGAGGCAGAATGAATCATGTAACACTTCTTCTAGAATTACTGGATGTGGATAGCCTCTCCAGCTGTTTACAGGGTGGAATTTGAGAGCCTTCAAACACAGATGTGCTGCTGAGTTTCACGACATCCACCCGAAGAGATGAGCCGGCCGCACTGACGACTGACTCATTTAATTTCCTTCAGGTTCATTGGCTTTTGTGAATTCACACAGAGAGAAGCGCCAGATAGGCTGAAGTAACTTGCAGAAATGAACTGGAGGGATTGTCTAGGGCCAATCCTGTGGCTGCTGCAGGAACTATACCTAATCACCCAAGACGGGGTCACCCGGGCTGCCTAAGACCACGAAGGGAGCCACAAATATAGGAAGATAATTGGATCCAGGGACCAACAGCTTCATCAGGAGCAAGATTACACAGGCTAATCCTTCAGACTCAGGGGGATAAGCAGCAATTAGTAAACTTCACTAAAGGATCAACCCTCATCCGGGTCTTGAATATTGACACTAAGTTAAGCCATGGGACATACTGAACTGATTAAGACCAGGAGACTGACCACATGTCAAGATTTCACCTTCCAACCAGCCCCATGCCAGATGTACTGGAGGCCAGACTCTCATAAAGTGGCTGAAACCAAAGAGGGTTGGGGTCTTTTGAGGGTTTTTTTTTTTTTTCTTTATTGGTTGTATTCACAGCTCAAAATGTTTGTTCCATTGAGAGGTGGTTTACTGGCTTGAAATCCACTTTGTCAAACTACTCGATATGAAATGATTTTTCAGGCTTGGCAAGTACCCTTCCCTACATGATGTGGGTGTTTTCCTTCCTTCCTCTCCATCTAAGTGTGCCCTTGTCACCTTGGAGGTGGCCGCAGTACTTCAACAGGAGGGACCAGAGCTCTGCCTTTTGACAAGAAGATGCTGAGGTCTGTCCTTGCCTCCTTTGGACAGCCAACCAAAGGAGGAGTGACAGGGTAGAGATCTATTCTTGAACATGGACCTCAGGCCCCCCACTGGCTCTGATCTACATTCCACAGAGAACTAAGCCTTCAGTGGCCCCCTGAATGGGGAAGACCCCCACCACCTCAGTCCTCAGACTACCCCTCCACAAACTGCACTGGGCAAGAAGAGGGCTGGGCTCCACTCCTCGGCCATCTACAAGCTGAAGCTTCTCCCCAGTTCAAGCCCCTCTCCTAGGGCTCTCACCAGGAATTCTGTTTTGTTTCATTGTGTTTAATGTAAAGTGTTCAGTTTAAGGAAGCCATTAAGCTGAATGAAATGGAAATCGATTTAAATGTGGCTAAAATATGTAGCTCCTAATGTTCACATCATGAAGGAGTTCTCTAATCACATATTCTTTCTTTCCTTCTTTCTTTTTAATGAGGCTAAACTGACTAAAATAATTTAACTGAGTTTAGAATGGCAGTGTTCAGACAAACAAGACTCCTACATTTTAGACACGTCTAAATGCTTTAAAAGCCTATAAAATTAGTTCATTACATTTCTCAGATATTTGAATTTTATGCCCCAAATTATATTTGTTTTGTGAACACGTATAGCATTACTTCTACTGATTCCCCTATCGCCTAGCCTGTGATCTTGGGAGACGTGAATGTGTGGGCCAAGGGAAGAAGATCAATTAGGTTATCGGGGAGTGGGGCAGAAAAAAGGGGCTGAAGAAGGCATTCCCCCATACTGATGACAGTTTTCCCTGGGACAAAATAAACATGCTCCCACAAGTCACAAAAACAAACAAAACAAAAATAAAATCTTTTTCTTTCTCTCTCTCTCTCTCTCTCACTTACTCATACACACATCACAGCAAAGTAACATTTAAACTTACCTGTTCCTGAATGGCACGTTTTAACAGAGGTAGCCCCATGATAAACTTCACTCTCTGAAAGGTCAAAGCTCTCATTTCATCCAGACTTAAATCATACCTGCGAAGAACAAATACAAAATGGGTGTTAAAACATTGATTTGGTGACTCTGAGTAGAGCCTTTGGACCAAGGTATCTGATAGAACAGACAGCTTTGTTAGTCTCTTTACAGCTCTTGTTTGATACTGTGTGTCAAAGAAGGCTTACTTTGTGTGTAACGCAGACCCTGTGTTCAATACAGTGGGGTCAAAATGGAAGGAAAGAAGGAAGGGATTTCCTAACAGGGTGACCTTAAAACAGAACTCCAACATCCCCTCTGCAGGGACAAAAGATTTTCATGTTTCTGAGATGACTCAAGAACAGCATTTGGGAAGATGGGAGAGAAGGACTGATCTGTGTGGTACAAGGGGTGGACTGTAGTGGCCACGACGAGTGTCACCTAGAGTCTCCCTCAAGAGAACCCACCAACAACCTCCAGCTGCCATACCTTGGAATTAATTGTGGCACTCACCCCAGGCGACTTTCCCCTAGGGCTGCTCCCAGCTGGTGATTGGGTAGGGCAAGCTTCTCAATTAGGGCCATTACTGCCCAGTAGGCAACTTATACCAGGAGACCCAGCACCCCCCCCACCCCAAACTGGCCCACTGAGGCTTTCTTAATACCCCACTGTGCCCTTTCTGCTCTCTCATTTCACAGAGTCAGACATGCCTACACACATTCCGAAGCTTCTCCCCCCTCCCCCAGCTCCTTCCCATCATCCTTCACAGATTCAAGTGCTCCACTCCCTCCCACCCCATAAGCCATTTGCTCATCTAGTTCCATCCTGGTGTCTGTTTCTCAATGAACTTAAACTGACACAGGAGGGGAGTTTACACTCTGCCACTTAAAATGCTTAAATGCAAAGCATAGCCTGAGCCTGGAAGAAACCTCGCCCAGGTTTGATACCTGGCTCTGTCACTAACTGTGTGACCAACATCAAATGACCTGGCCTCCCAGTACCTCTGTCCTCTAGATGGGATGGATAATTGCACATAACTCAGAGGATTGTTACCTCAAGTGCTTATCCCAGTGCTTGTGTGTATATAGTAAGTGCTCAATATTATTAATCTGCCTTCATACGCTTCTTCACCCCTCCTCCTCCTCCTCAAGGGCAGGAACTGTGTTAGATCCATATTTACAGTCTCAGCACCAACCCAAGGCCTGGCCACAGTACACCATATTAAATGATGGTTGAACTTAAATTTCTTTGTTTCCTATAGTTTCATGACTAGATCCTGGAGACTGTGTTCTCAGGTATATCCGAAAAAGCATGCCAACCACACATACTATTCCTATGTAAAGTTCATTCCCAACAAGAAATACAAACTGCATGGGTGTAGGGTCCAAGTCTTGAACTGTGTAGCCCCTCAGGACCAGCACAGTGTCTCACATTTAAACATTTTTCCTAAATAACCTGCTGGCCAATTGCCCCAGACCAAACAAGAACCAATTAGACCATCTTGGCTTTCTCTCATCCATTCAGTTGGTAGGTAACAAAAATCCAAGGGGACCCACCATTCATCATGGAATGTAAAAAAAAAAAAAAAAAAAAAGCCCACCCCCAATCCCCCAAAAAAGAAAGGACACAGAAACCCCCTAACAGAAGAATCTTGCCTTTTTTTTTTTTTTTTTGAGTCAGCTAGTAGACCTGATCTCAGAGCAACTAGTGGGGATTTCAGCATAAGCATTACTGCATAAAATCAGCATTTTTCCTAAGGAGAACAGAAAATAAACATTCTGGAGTGCCTGGGTGGCTCAGTCATTAAGCATCTGCCTTTGGCTCAGGTCATGATCCCAGGGTCCTGGGATCAAACCCCACATTGGGCTCCCTGCTCAGCGGAGAGTCTGCTTCTCCCTCTCCCTCTGTGTGCTCTCTCTCTTTCTCTCTCAAATAAATAAATAAGTCTTTTAAAAAAAAAAAGAAAGAACATAAACATTCTATTGTCAATGAAACTAAGAGTCAGGAAAACGCTCCAGATACTAACATAGAAGTAAAACGTGTCTGAGTTGATGCAGGATTTGAGCAGGAGGAAGTGGCGAGTAACACAACGCAAGTAACCACAGAATGAGATCTCACACAGCACAAGGGCCAAATGGTGGCAACTCTCAAAAAATGCAGGTAAAAATTCACTTTCTAAATAAATGTAAGCTGTACACATTGAGAGGTAAAACTTGTAGCTCTGATCTAGAAAAGCAAGCAGGTAAGAAGGCTCGCTGGCCCCTGAGCTAAGTTCAGGGTCAGGGCAACATGCAGTCACATAGACAGGCCACGTTTGAAAGAAGCAGTCTATCTCTGTGGCAGCAGGGAAGGGAAAAGTTCCTATGTTGTGAAAAGGGACTATCCTGGACCCCTATCTCAGCTTCTCCTGCTCCCCAACCCTGAAACCTCTTAGAAAAGCCAGACCAGAAATCATTCAATTATATTCAAATCATCCAATTATAAGTAATAAAAAGATACTAGCATAGAATTGATACAGTGATCTTATAAGAAAAATGGAGAAAAAGAGCAAGCCACTGGCAACTGGCAATGTGGGTGTGCAGTAGGGTTCTGAGCATCAGTTAGTGCAGGAGGTCTTCAGAGCATACAGGGTGCCGGGGAGCTTGCCAAATGTGGGCTCAGCTGAAGTCTAGCCTTAGCCTGATTCAGTGGGACACCCTGGAGTATAAATGGCACCATAGAGTGGTCCCATCCTGTCCTTCAGTCATGGGCAGAAAGCATAACCTCAGCCATTTCCTGGGAAGGTAACTCCCATACATCAAGGACAATTCCAAGGAAGTTCAGCTGTGAGTTGATACTAGTCAACACCGACAGCAGCTAGGAGATGAGTGTACAGGTTTGGTAGAGGAATCAGGGTAGGGTATTAACATTAATTGCTAAGCAGCTAACTAAAGCTAGAAAAAAAAAGAAAGGAGAAAAAAATAAATTATTGCAAGAAAAGTAGAAAATCAAAACAGAAAAAGTATAAGTAATAAATCTAAAATCTGGCTCTGAAAAAAATCACAAGAAGTGGTTGTTCAACGTTGCTCTGGTGGTATTAGCCAATGCAATTCGACAAGGGAAAGCAATTAAGGAAATTGAAATTGGAAAGAAACAGGGAGAACTACATACAGATGATCCATGTGTTTTATTGATTGTATTAATGGCCCCTATGCTAGACCTCCCCTGATCCCTGCCCTTTGACCCTACAATTCTCATAAAGAGGCAGAGTGTACTTCCCCACCACTTGAATCTGAGCTTGGCCACATGATTTGCTTTGGTCATTAAGATACTGGTAGATTTGAGGAAAGCAAAGGCTTAGAAAAGTGCTTATACATTTCCCTTCCTCTCTTACTCCTCTGCAATCCCACAGACATATGCTTGAGCTAATCTAAGAACATGCCTAGGCTAGTTTGCCATGTGGACAGAAGGTATAAAGTAAGAGACATGTGAGAAGAGCCCAGTTGTCTCAGCCAAGGTCATCCTAGATCAGCCTACCTCCAGGCAAGGCCCACACTGGAAGAGCCTGGTCAAGATCAAAACTGCCTATCCAACCCACAGCTGACTTCATGAATGAGCCAAGGTCAGAAGAACCTCTCAGCCCCCACAAACTCATGATCAATAATAAATGTATATTGTTTTTGAACCACTATGTTTTGCATCATAGCTAACTGATACAATATGACTATGTACCTGGAACCCTCAAGACCACCAACTAAAATTACTGCAAACAAGAACAGCTTGGCAAGAAACACAGGTAATCAAAGTCAGTAGCTTTCATATGGTTATATAAACAGTTTGAAAATACATGGAAAAAAAGATTCCACTTGCCAAAGTTATAAAACAAAAGAAAAATATACTTAAGAATAAATTTTTAGATGTACTTATATGAATAAAACTGTAAAACACTCCCGAAGAACACACGAAAAGACTTGAACAAAAGAAATATGTACTGTGTGGGGTTTTTTTTAAAGATTTTATTTATTTGAGAGAGAAAGAGAGAGAATGGGGGAGAGGGGCAGCAGGAAAGAGAGAAGCAGACTCCTTGCTGAGCAGGGGAATCAAGAGACATTTCACACTACAAAACCAGACAGTAAAGCCTATGGGAATGCCATGAAGTGTGTTATACAGACAAGATTCTAAAACGTAAGTTATTAGCTATTTCCTTCACATTTCCATTCCAGTAACTTTTCAATAGAATGGTTGTTATTCATCTACTTTAAAATTTTAATTCACATCTATTCTCATATTAAATTAAGCTTCCTGCTCATACTGATACCAAGCACCTCATAGGAGTCAAGTTTGAGTAATGATTTTATGTTAATCTGTGCAGAAAAAAGAAGACAGACTGCAAGATCAGGTGAGGACAGTGAATGCACAGATAATACACACACTGGCCAAGAACTGAGAAATTATTAAAAACTATAACATAAACAGAACTCAAGAAAACTGGGTTACTAATAAATAGTTCTCAACTATTAATACCCAAGTTAAAGAAATTCTGTATTCAAAATAGAAAAATGTAGGGCACCTGGGTGGCTCAGTTGGTTAGGCGACTGCCTTCGGCTCAGGTCATGATCCTGGAGTCCCAGGATTGAGTCCCGCATCAGGCTCCCTGCTCAGCGGGGGGTCTGCTTCTCCCTCTGACCCTCCCCCCTCTCATGCTCTCTCTATCTCATTCTCTCTCAAATAAATAAATATTTAAAAAAAAAAAACAAAATAGAAAAATGTGGATCAAGAGACATTAAAAAACATTTTCCAATAGAGACAAGTTGAGACATTTTAATTAGAGGTCTATCCCATTCCCCAGCCCACCCTCACTCCCAAAATGCACTACCAGAGATGAGTTTAATGTTACATGGGTAGAAATAGCACAACACTGCAAACATCTTAAAGATGAGTGATTGAGTGAAGTACGGTCTAGCCATACAGTGAGATTATTACATAAAAAGGAAAATCTGTCTATACGCCTATATAAGGAAATTGCCAAGATGTTTTAAATGAAAAGAAGCAAGGTGCAAACAACTGAATATATTACTTTTAC